CGGCCCACGCAGCGGCGCCCGGGCCCCCGTGCGCAGAGTGCTCGCCGAACAGCGCGGGCGCCAACAGACACGTCGTCAATAGATTCGTCGCCAATAGATTTATTACAAACCTGAAACAACATGAAATAAAATGTCAATTAAAATGTCACATAAGAATTCATAACTATTATTCGCATACATCAATATCAAATGTATTGAATCATCAAGGTTGTAGTATTTCGTAGAATTCCTACGTTATGGTTATCACTCTTCATAAACTGGTGCAATAAAGTTTACTGTAAACGAAAGATTGTGACCTTAGTGTGAGATCTGAGTTACTTATAATAAAGTTCCGGTGTTACGGCATTAGATTTGACGGTTGTATTGCAAAGCGCGATGTGGTTGATATCAACCTTAGAATCCAGCTACATGTGTCAGTAAGGTTTGTTTATAAACAACAGCGACCCCGGGCCGAGTGGTATAACCAATGGAAATAGAATCCGTGAAAGCGTAAACAAGGCTCACACGACGCATTATAAATGTACTCTTATACAAATGAACTGAATATTAACTGAAGTACTTGTTAAATTGTAAACATTAATTTTCTTCTTATTTATGCTCACTGTTCTATTTAAAAATATTTTTTTTACTCTGTAATTACTAAGCGAGATTTTTTTTAATTTAGTTTTTGAGGTTATGTCCCCTTTTCCATTGTTTATTTAAAGGGTTTTTACGTACGCTATTGTGCCAGATGTATTGTGTTTCGCAAATCATATTAGACTATTTAATATGCTTCACGTAACTATTAGATGTGAGCGATAAGATACAACATTTAAATGTACAAGGACTTTCGCAAACCTAAGTAACATGGCAATCTCGTTGTAATACTTTTTGTTGTCATAGATTTTATAATATTTTGTTACTCACAGATAAATAACCTTTCTAACGGTGAAAGAATTTTCAAAATCGGACCCGTAGTTTCTATTCATTACAATTACAAAGTTTTCCTCTTTATAATATTAGTACAGATGTTTCATTTTCTTTCATATAATATCGATTTTTATATATACTTTATCTTACTTCCCCGAGTGCTAAAAAATATTAAATCATTCTTCCACGAAACTTTAATATCATTAGTAATTGCTGTTGCCTTTCTAAATCAAAATACTACAAGGTCAAATATGAATGTTTTTCTCTTCCGCCATTTTGAATTACATTTAATTCTTTCAGTACAGATCATAAAGGTAATTCGTTTTAGCATTTTAGATGTTATAATAAATGTATGATTTTAGTCTGACCTGTAATAAATCAATGTAATTTTTAAAATTACCTTCGTAAATGAACAATTTTTTTTCCTTTCTTTCGAAAATTACCGACAAATATGGATAATACAGATTTTGTAAATACGCAAATACATTGCAAATATCAATAGCAGTAATATTTTTTACCCATTAAATGTATTTATTTCGTTTCAAGGGAAGGTTGCGGAAAGAATTTTCCAGGCAAATAATCTTAACCTCAAAAGTGTAGATTGACAAATAACTCATTAAAATAGAGACCAAATAAAAATGTGTATATAAGATATTTTTATAGTTTTAAAACGGAAATATTACGATTACATGTTATTTGTTTTTTTTAAAGATTCAGTTTATAATCTGTGGTCAAGATCAAAGTTCTATATTTGAAAATGGAATTCGTTTTATTTAGGGCAGATTGTAATAACATATAGTTAACTATCTATCGTAGAATATTAGAAATATATGTTTGCATTTAAAAATGTAAATTAGAATAAATTATAACTTATGAGTGCTAGTAACGTTGTAAATAAAAATTTAATTTACAACTGATATTATTTTACTAATTAATAAAAATATTTCTCAATAAAAATAAAATTCGTGTTGTTTTATTTAAAATATCAATACAGTATAAATAAAATAATAAAACCAGGAATTAATTTCAATTAGAATGACTAAATCCGCACCAGTTTTTAGACAGTTTACATGACTCTTATGAAAAATTATGATTAAAAAAAATATCAGAGGGAAGAGCGTTTTCTCGTGGCTTTTTTTATTAAATATGCATCAAGGAGAACACTTAGCAACCGACATGGACATCCAGATGGTTCTGTCTGCATATGCAATATTGCCCTTGTCTCAACCTTCATGGAGACTTTATTTGAAAATCAAATGCTTTCATTATAAGGAATTTATGCATGTTACTAACGATATATAGGTAAAGCGGAATCGTTCTCTATATTATATTATTCATACAATTGTTATGGATGCAATATGTATGCATTTTTCCCCCTCATGGCTGCAGAAGATGCTAAACGGACCTTGAGATAACAAACGTAGGATGTAAAGTTTGTTATTGATTGTAACTAACTAAATATTTTTTATATTAAAGATGCTTTATAGACTTCTCAATATTTAAACTACGTATCAAATTTGAAACTTCAGGTATTTAAGGGTTTACTTCGGGGTCCCTAGGACTGACTGATTTGGTAAGATTTATTTATTTCTACAGGGGTTTATGATTTGGTAAGATAAGATGTCATTTATTACATGATGCCGGTGTGTCATGAGTCTATAAGTGTTAATAAACTATGGATTATTTGCTATGATATTATAGTAATATCAATATTTATGTTAACCTATAATATTATTGTTAACTACATTTAAACATAACTAGTAAGTATATTGAATCATAATTTATCGATTATATTCACAATAGCTTATTCGTGTATCCAATCTTTAAAATCGTTGCCCTAAATACTAAAGCTAAAACATCTTGATACATTGTTACAATAATATTTAAGAAAGTATCAAAACATATCGCGATTTTTTCAAGTAAAAATGTTTTTATGCGCCGATCGTGTAAGTCATAAAATTTAAATTTTACAACGCAAAATATAAACATCTCTATCAAAGTTTTTGACATACTCTCTGGATATTACCATGGTCAGCGGATATTTATTACCGTAATAAATGACGTCATCACACGTTCCGTTTTTTTTAATAGTCATAATATTTTTTTACACAAGCGAAGGTCTTACGTGCAAACGGAATTGAATTCTTCCGCAGAAAAATCACTATTCCGATATCAATAGTGACAAATTTACTATTCATTTATGATTATCGTTTTGTTTTATTATTCGCAAAAATTTTAGACACTTCGTAGTTTTTTAATATTATTTTATTTATTGATTATAAAACGTCAGATAAGTTTTTAACTATGACTTGATTGTGAAATCAATGAATCCCCATTTAAGTCAATTAAATATGAAATAAATAACTTGAAAATATCATTCATCGGCCATGGACGCGTTTGACATAATGACGACGCTATTAAAAATACCCATTGTCCCAACTTAACGGTGGCATAATGATAACAATTGCTGCATACCATTTACGGTATGATCTATTTTTGATCTGTCCAATTATCATTCATATCTTAAGTCAAGGTTAAACTGTAGGCGTCTTTACAAGGGCTCAACTAACAAATGTATTTTAAATTATTTATATCAGAAATTAGTAATACCCACGTTGTCCTTATGGGATAATTCGGGCACAAATATATCTCCTGGACGTCGATAAATAAATTCATAAATAATTTTCGCATATATAACATTAGTAAGAAAACTTCAGAACCTCACTCAGTCACAAGGTGCAAAAATAGTGTTGGCCTTTACCGACACTAACAAAAACCGATCGATCCATCTCAGTTATCGATACCCAGTAAGACCATTACATTTAACCACATGCATTCAACATCTGCTAAAGCAGGTGTGAAATAGCGTGCGAATTTTGTCATTTTATTACTCCCTGCTGTAAACAAGTTCATTGAATCGTGTTTTGACAAATGTGAAGATTAGACCATTTGTCAATTTGACAGATGGTTTATAAGTAAAAAAATTGTGCAAGATTTTTTTTCACGTTCTCACATATTTTTAATAATGGTATATTTCATGTTACTTTATTGTAGCAAAATAATTTATGATATCGGCCTTGTAGTTTCGGAATCTTTACAATTCAAACAATCAAATATTTCCTTTTCGAGGAAAACTTTGTTTGATTGTAGTGAATAGGGTTAAAAACTACTAGGCCGATTTTGAAAATTCTTTCACCGTTTCAAAGGTAATTTATCTGTGAGTAACATAGGCTATCCTTTATATTATTTTTTAATTTAACGCGGACGTAATCGCGGGCAAAAGCTAGTCTTTTATAATTTTATACGTTGTTACATATTTAAATATCGTTTTAGTAATCGGCCGTTGTAGCTTAGCTATTTAGTTTGAGGTAAAATATCAAAATATTTTCCTTAATTTTAGTTTTGCTTACGATCTTAGATGTTTCTCGTATCTTTTTCTGAGAAGTGTTTGTATGAAGATCGCACGCAATAGTAGGTGTGAACGTAATGTTTTGGGAATTCCCCACTATCTATAATCTGCGGTTAATAAGATTTTAATCTTGCGTTTATCAGTTTTCCTTTTACGTGAATGATGATAAATAATTTATCATTGATTGATTTTGTAGATAATAATCTATATCTACACAATTATTAATTTCAAAAGTTTAAAGCCCTTAATGTTAGATATTACCTTTCAGATAAAAAAAGAATTATCAAAATGGGTCCACTAGCGGCGGAGTTATGCCGTAACACATAAAAAATAATAATAAAAAAAAACATACACACGAATTGAGTACCTCCTTTTTTTGGGAAGTCGGTCAAAAAGAACCTCAGTAAATACAGTGCAATATAGAAAACTGCATACACATATGCGAAGAAATTCAAACATATTTAAAATTAACTCGTACTGGAACAGCGCAGTAGACTTCTATACCCCATAGTAGATTCTTGACCTATGACCTGACATTTCATATATGCATTTTAGTGTAATTTAGAGATGCTTTCAAGTATTTTTTAATGCAGCGGCAAACTAAATCTTATGAGAAAATACGCGTTTCGCTCTGAATAACGTTTGAAATCAGAACAGAATTGCTTAACACACGCACATTGTGTTTACGTGAGATTCAACAATTTTCCCAAGACATTTCCGTTAACAGTTTACAAGTATATTACAGTTATTATAGTCTGTCAAAGTTATCTGGCCTGGCAAATGCTTTGTCAT